ATAGATCATTTTCACCTGCTTGGTTAAATATATTCCAAATCATTTAAATTTTTGTAGCTATTGTTAATGGGACTAATCTTACAAGTTCTTTCTCAGCCATAGCATTTTCTGTGTATGCAAAAGTTGTTAATTTTTGTCTGTGAATTTTATATCCTGCAACTTTACCACACTCCAAGTTCCAGTAGTCTCTTAGTGTATTCTTCTGTTTCTTCTATTGATAGAATCATGTCATCTGTAAACAGGGATGATTTGACTTCCTCCTTTCCAATTTGTATCCCTTTGATTCCTTTTTCTTACCTAACAGCTCTGGCTAAACCTTCCATTACTATGTAAATAATAATGGTGATAGTGGGCATCCTTGTCTGGTTCCAGATGTTATTGGAAATACATGCAACTTTTTCCTATTTAATATGATGCTGGCTGTGAGTTTATCATAAATTGCCTTGATTGTGTTAAGGAGTGTTCCTTCTATACCCAATTTGCTTAAAGTTTTTATCATGAAAGATGTTTTATTTTATCTTATGTTTTCTCTACATCTATTGAGATAATCTTATGGGTTTATTCTTTAATTTATTAATATGATGTATCACATTTATTGATATGCATATGTTGAACCATCCCTGCATGCCAGGGATAAATGCAGTTTGTCCAGGTGAATGATCTTTCTGATGTGTTGTTGAATTTATTTAGCTAATTTTTTTTGTAGGACAGGATCTGTCACAGCCTCTACTGGTGTCAGATTGTGCCTTCTCCCTGCCAGTTGCTGGGCACCCTTGTTGGGGGGGTGGGGAGAAAGAAACGTGCTTTTCTGTTACTGAATTTGGCAGGTACCCTGCCTCCTGCTGGAGCTTCCGGCCCAAGTCAAAGACAGTGTGGCCCACAGGCTCTCCCTTGGGCAGTGTGACCACTGGCATGGGCTGCCACCCTCTGCTCTCACCTGCCTCTCCAAAGCTGGCGTCTCCTGCAGTTCCTGCTGCAGGGTCATGTGTGATGTTTCACTCGTTGCTGCTTGTCCACACCTTCCATGCTGTCCTTCTTCCTCCTGTAGAATTTCCATTGCAAGCTTCTCTCCAGCTCTCCCCTGGGAATGCACTTCCTTTGGTTTTCTTCTGCTGTTTTCTCCTTTCAAAATGAGCACACCCTTCCCCTATTAACCATCTTGGAATTCCTTGAGTATCTGTTTTAAAGTTCTAATGCCTCCCACTTCATCTCTGATTTTACTTATTTGAGTCTTCTCTTTGTTTCTTAGGATATCTAAGGGTTGCTCAGTTTGTTCATCTTTGGAGAACCAGCTATTCATTTCATTGATTTTTAAAATTATTTTTAGTCTTTATTTCTGCTTTGAGTTTTCTTTCTTTTCTTCTACTCATTTTGGGTTTGGTTGGTTTTCATGTCTTCTAGTTTCTTGAGTTACAGTGATGAGATATTTCTGCTTTGCCTGTGTAGATATTGACAGGTATAAACACCCCCTTAGTATTGCTTTTCCTGTATCTCATAGGTTTCTGGTATGCTTTCAATTTCATTTATCTAAACAAGTTTTAAAACTTCTTTCTTAATTGCTCCCTTGATCTGTTGGCTGTTGTAGGAGTGAGTAGTGTAATGTCTATTTATTTATGTAGTTTCAGAGTTTTTCTTGTTACAGATTTTTAGTGTTACTGCAGTGTCGCCAGAAAATATACTTGATCTATTTTAGTTTGCTGAGACTTGTGCTGTGACCTCTCTTGTGACCTGTGTTACATGTGTTGAGAATGTGTTTTCTGCAGTTGTTGGGTTACATTCTGTAGATGCCTGCTGGGTCTAGATGATCTGTGAGGCAGTTTCACGCTGCTGTTTCTTTGCTGATTTTCTGTCTGGATGATTTGTCCCTTTCTCATAGTGGAGTAGTTAGTGTCCCCTGTTGTTAAATGGTGTTCGAGATGGTTTCTCCCTTTATGAATCTAGTGGTCTGATGTTGGTTGCATATGTGTTTATAATTCTCATTTCCTCTTGCATGATTGCACCCTTTACCATTATGAATGCTTTTCCTTATCTGTCTTTAATGCTTTTGATTTAAAATCTGTTTTATGCAATGTTAGTGTAGCTGCTTCTGCTTCTTGTTGGGTTCCATTTACATAGAATATCTTATTCCATCCTTTAACTTTCATCCAGCCCTGTTCTCAAGGGTGGAGTGAACTTCTTGTAAGCAGCATAGAGCTTGGTCTTGTGATTTTATCTATTTGGTCACGCGTGTCTTTTATTGGAGAACTTATCAGTGTAGATGTCAGGTAATTAGATAAGTTCTTACTGCTGCCATTTTGATTGTGTTTTATTGTAAATCCTTTCCTTCTCTCTCTTTCCCTTTCCCTGTGTTATAATCTTGCTTTGTAGTTATTTTCTGTAATACTGTGTTTTATTACTTGGTTACTGGTTTTGGTAACACTATATTAGAGTTGCTTTATGGTGGCTGTGAGGGTTACAAAAAGCACCTTTTGACTATAACAGACTATTTTGAAATGATAGCAGCATGACACTGATTATAAAGATAGGAAAAGAAACAACAGAAATTAGTAAGATCAACATCTCTTCCTATGTTGCCTTTCTCTTAAGATATTAATGTAGTTTTTATTTTAAACTGATTTTATTCATTCTAAAGATATGAATAGTTTATGTACGAAGTTTACAGTATTAGAGCATTCTAATTTTATATAGTTATCAGTTTTTTACCTTCCAATATTTTGTTAGTATCTCTTTCCATTTGGAGAATTCCTTGAACTTTTCTCGTAAGACAGGTCTGGCAGATATAAATTCTCTAGACTTTGATTTGTCTGGGAAAGTCTTTCTTTCTTCTACATATCTGAAGAGTAGCTTTGCTGGGTACAGTATTCTTGACTGGAAGTTTTTTTCTTCAGTAATATCTCATCCTACTTCCTCCTGGCCTTTAAGGTTTCTGCTAACATGTCTGAAGTCAGGCAAACTGGGACCACTTTATTCTTTCTTTTATTTGAGAGTCATGTCTTTAAACTTGTAGAGTTTGATTACATCTTTTTTTTTTTTAAAGATTTGTATTTATTTATTTGAAAGGCAGAGTTACAGAAAGAGAGAGAGGTCTTCCATCCACTGTTTCACTCCCTAGATGGCTGCAATGGCTGGAGCTGCGCCAATCTGAAGCCAGGAGCCAGGAGTTTCTCCCAAGTCTTCCATGTGGGTACAGAGGCCCAAGGACTTGGGCCATCTTCTACTGCTTTCCCAGGCCATAGCAGAAAGCTGTATTGGAAGTGGAGCAGCCGGGACTCAAACTCTCACCAACATGGGATGTTGGCACTACAGCCAGCGGCTTAGCCAGCTACACCACAGTGCTGGGTCCTGATTCTTTGGTAGACTTGGTCAATGTGAATGACTGGTGACGGCCTCCTGAAACCAGATAGTTCCTTCTTTCTCTGCATTCCAGACATTTTCAGTTACTATCTCTTTGAATAAGCTTTCTACCTCTCTACCAATTGCTTGTTGCTTTAACATTTTTTTTTTATCTATTCTGGAGGATCTTCTCCTGCCTCAGTTATATCCTTGATATGTAATAATCCTTTCGCATATGTCACAAAGCTTCACCTACTTGCAAGGTATTTTCTGTTCTTAGTTTTTTGGTAAGCACTTTGTGCTTTTAAACAAATAGGTATTTTTCTAATGTACATTTTTCACAACCTTTTTAAAGGCCTCTCTCTCATATTTCACTTGTCAGCAAAACTGTGAAGGTAGAATGACCAGTCATCTTTTGGGTTGTTACCATTTCGCAAAAGAAAGGATAGGTTCCAAGATGCCTTGCCCAAGTCACATGGCTAAAAAGCACATAGGAGCTCTCCCGACCCACAGTGCAGTTCCACTGAGTCATGGTGCAGTAATCATAGAGGAATTTAGTGAGCACTGCTGTGTGGTAGGCACTGAAAATGTGACACAGAACGCAAGTCCATGTCTTTCAGAGTTTATTAAAGGAGGGAGAACCCCCACAGTTAGCAGAGGACCAGAGAAGCACTTCAAGGGGCGCTTTGAGATAGTGTGTAATATTCAGAGACCTCTGGCTCTGGCTCAGGTGTCACTTCCACAGCTGTAGGAGTAGAACTGGTTTTCCATCTTCTTTAGAAATCTGCTGACTTCCTTAGACCTTGGCCACTTAAAGCTGGAATTTGTATAGTTTGGTTGAAACTTACTCAGCTTGGAAAAGAACTGCTTTTGCCTCAGCTATGGAAAGATCTACCATCCTTGCTTTGGGGGTCTTCTGAAGAGCAGAACTTAACAAGGTTCACATTGCACAGCCAGTCCTGAGGATCTGTTCAGAACCTCCCCGGGTCGCGGCATCCTGCTCAACTGGGGCAGTCCCAACTGACTAGGATCATTGTCTCTAGTGGTTACTTTTACCATGGTATTTCTGTGGCCTGGGCACTGTCATTGTTACTTATTAGTTTGTTTTTTGTTATCAGCCACAAACAAACGTGAACATGTTTTATTTTTGCTCTGAAAGTTGGTTCTCAAACTTCCCTATCCAGAACTTTTATGAGAAGCACAAATAATTTAGTATAATTTTTAAGAATGATGAAAGACAAAACATGCTAAGATAGAGATTTTTAAAATTATTTTATTATTTTTATTTATTTGAGAGACAGAGTTCACCGCCCATAGTTCATTCCCCCAGATACGTGCAGTGACTGGAGCTGGAGCCAGAACACAATCTAGATCGACCGCATTGGTGGCAGGAACCCAGTTATTTGAGTCACCACCGGCTGCCTCCAAGGGTCAGCACTGGCAGAAAGCTGGAGTCAGGAGCCAGAGCCAGGAATGAGACCACAGGCCTATGATGTGGGGTGCAGGTGTCCCAACTGCTGGGCCAAACATCTGAAATACTGCTCTTTCACATCGTGGTTAAATGTATTTATAATATCTTGTAAGTTATGGACATTTGTAAGTCTTTTAGGATTTTACTGTTATGAATCTTGAAGGGCAGGTAACTGATGTCTTATCCCAATTTTCAGGTAAAGAAGATACTCCCTCATTACTTGGTCTCTGTGGGTCTCTAACATCAGTAGCAAGTTACAAGTCTCTAACAAGCCTAAAATCTAATGACTACCTTGCAAGTCCTACAACAGAGATGACAAGTCCAGGCTTAACTCCATCCTGAAAAACTATGGAAAGCCAAAGGTTTTTATGTTGTAAATGTTCAATTTACATAAGTTTGACTGCTGGGAAGACCTTTGAAATTTTATATTGTTCTGGTACATGTTGGGAATTCTGTTCTGTTGCTTAAGGTTCAGTCCACTACATGTAAACTTGAGTGAAAAACACAATGATGCTGTCATTTGTCATTTGAAAAATAGATTTCTCATTGAGGAAGCTTAAAAATGAGAAGGCTTTTCAAAATGTTCAAAGATCCTCCAAACCAATAATTCATTGCAAACTGTACATATTTACTCCTCAACTGATGTTTTATATACTTAAGTGTATCTTAGTGACCAGAGAATGAATTCAAGGTTTTATTCTAGATACTGTATGTATTTTCTTTGCTTCATTTTTCAGTGAGTAAATTTTCAGTTTATTAGCTTCATATTTTTATTAATTTCTTCTTAAGCCCTAATGTTTAAATGTCTTGTTTTCAGTATCTGGGGAAGGTTCTCAAGCTGTGTTTCACAGTGGCTTATTAAATTTTTCTTCAGCATTTATTATTTAGCACCAGCTTAACATTCCACATAACATTTTATAAATTTTGTAGGAATGCCTAAAAAGGCAATTATTAACTTAATTTACTAGGGCCATGGGGAAAGTATTTTATATGAATATGGGTAAGTTGAATAAACTTATCTTTGTTTTCCCAGGATTTTCTTAAGAGATTATCTACTAAAAATATGATCAAGTATGTCTCAAAAGTTGGAAACACTTCAAAATTAGAACGAATGTTTAAAAAGTATATTGGGAAGGATTTCAAGTTTGAGGATTTGAGAATCTTTTAAACAAAGATTAGTGGGTAATCACTATACTTAACAGTAAATTTTATACATCTGACATATAGTGCTTTTTCTTGTATGCAAGAATGGTGTCATGTATGTTTTACAGTTTCTATCACTCATCATGCCATCAACCCATTTAAACACTGATGCTAAAAATTCGTACACTTCTAAGGTAAATTTTTCTTCTTTTAATATATAGGATCTCCATTTTAAATCTTTCTGCAGTTTTTGAAACAGCTACATTTGTCCCTTAAAATTCTACCATATTGAAAGTGTATGAAATATATTTTCTATAGTAAGTAATATGAGGAAAACATGATTAGTTGTGCCAAAGAAGTTTTATACATTGTTTACATGAGGAGTTCACAGTTCTGATTGGGGACTTCATATGGTATTTTTTTTTTTAATTAATAAAATCCAGTCTTAGTAGTTTTCACATATAGAAGAATATTCACCCTAAAACAATGCATTTTATTGGGAAGGGGCAGGAAAAACTAAACATTCATTCTTTGCATTAGAAATTTAGGAGTCTGGTGGTTCTCTACAATATTTAGAGCCTAGTCTCATAATTTGGAATTTAAGATAACAAATAGTAACAAGGCCCATCTTACATATGACAGTCCAAACAGTGCCATTTCAAAGGAGGCTTGGAAACCACCCTGAAAATAAGTTGTCTTAGATATGTCAGAACATACTCAGAGCTTTATATCTGTAGTTTAAGACTTTAATATTTGTAGAAATGCAAATATTCTTGAGAAATGGTACCTTTAATCTGTTCTCAATCTGTATACATTGTTGTTAGTGAGGTATTCAAAGCACGTTTAACCAGCATGGGAGATGGAAGGAAGGAATACAGTGAGAACAATGGGAACTTGGGGAAGGAGTGAGGAAATAGACAATGAGAACTTCGAGAATTTTACACTGGCCTTGAGCACCACTGCTCTTTCCTAAGAATGATCAGAATATTTAAATGCTTTATTATTCAGAGTCCACTCTGAACATTTATGACATTTACGATCCTTTAGTAATTTGAAAATGTTAAATTTCTTCCATGCATTTTATAATGTAGAAGGAAATCCAAGATTGATATAACTTTTCAGATTTGTCCAACATACACAGTAACTTGTGTTCCTTAACATGCTACTAAGTGCATATTTAAACATGACATCTGAGGATCATTACTTTTCCTCCTTTCTGCAGCTCTTGGTGTGAAATTCATCTGCTACTGTGAAATTCAGGTTTCCACACAGTTCCTTTCACATTGGTTAGAGGTAGTTTGTTAGTGTTTGCATGAGGACACAGTGTATGTCTCATTCTTCAATTTTAGTGGTAATGTTTACTTTTCACAGTCTTCACCCCAAAAGAATGCTGAATTATATGCTAATATTTCCATGTTACTTGTTGCCTTGATGTACTATACTTGTTGCATGTATATTAAACATTTTGTACCATGCATTAGTGGTCTTATTTTTCCCTTGACAGAGTAACCTGATTCAAATGGTACAATGAATTTTTGTTACAACAAATGTGATAAATGCATATTATTCCACACCTAAAACACTAATATCAAAATGGAATTGTAGAAATCTTTATTTTGTATCAAATTGTTTCTTAAAAGTAGTTATAAGGCAGGTGTTTGGCCTGCCAGTTAAGCTGCCTACTTCCTATATTGGAATAGCTGGGTTCAATCCTTAGCTCTTGCTCCTGCTTCTAGCTTTCTACTGATGCAGAGTCTGGAGGCAGCCATGATGGCTCAAATAGCTGGGTCCCTGCCACTCACGTAGGAATTCTCAGGTGAACTCCTGGATTTACCCCAGTTCTAGCCCCTGCAGGCATGTGGGGAGTGGACCAACAGATCAGGACACTGTCTCTCAAATTAAAAAAGAAAAAAGTTTTACTTACTATATAATGATGTTTCAACAAGCGACAGACCATAACTCCCAATAGTGGTCCACCAAGATTATAATAGAGTGGAAAAATTCTTATTGCCGGAGCCAGTGCTATGGTGTATTGGGTAAAGCCACCGCCTGCAGTGCCAGCATCACATATGGGCACAGGTTCGAGTCCCGGCTGCTCTACTTCTGATCCAGCTCTCTGTTACAGCCTGGGAAAGCAGAAGATGGCCCAAGTCCTTGGACCCCTGCACCCACATGGGAGACCTGGAAGCTCTAGGCTCCTGGCTTTGGATCAGCGCAGCTCCAGCTGTTGCAGCCAGTTGGGGAGTGAACCAGCAGATGGAAGACCTCTCTCTCTCTTTCAAATAAATAAATCTTAAAAAAAATTCTTATTGCCTAGTTATATCAGAGCTGTCATAATGTCCCAGCTGTTGTAACATTGTGTCACAATACATTCCTCACATTGTGGTGAAGTTTGTGTAAATAAACCCATTATGCTGCTAGACATATGAAAGTATGGCATATATAATCATATACAGTAAATGACACCTAGTGATGACTGTGTCACTGGTTCATGCACACTGCAGGGTTAACTGTGAACCAGTATGCCATTATTAAGCTGGCAGCAGCCTCACACATCATGATTGCACTATCAGGCCACGCTGAGTGACCTATACTATTTCAATGTGGACATCATTGCCTAATGGCACATTTTTAACATGTGACTTTTACAGCTATGATGTAGAGCACACATCTATGTAGTACAGGTGCTGGCAATGACGCTGGTTTATTTATGTGATAGCCACTTTCATTTCTCACCTAGAAAACAGAAACGCTACCATATTCTTTGCACCTATTTGTGGGCCAAGGATGATGTCAGCATTAAATGAAATAATTTGTGTAACTTTTCCACGGGTAATTGCCAAATGCAAATCAGTATTTATTATGATTGGTGGAAAGTTAAAAAACAAGTAACCTGGTAAGTTTGAATTTAAGTCATTATTTTACATACAAGTTTTCAAATGGTTCTAACTGTGTCTTCAATTTACACCTTAATGAAAGCCCTTTGTGAAGTTGCTGTCCTTAGGTAAAATGGCAAGAGTCTGCTAAACTAATGTGTTGGATTACCTCTAAAATGTCACAAGGCTGTTTTAACCTTATGGATTTAAAATTTAATATCAGTTTACTTTATTCTGTAAGCAAAGCAGCTTCCACTTAGCTCTAGCATTTGTTCTTTTTAATTGCCAGGAAGATAAAATTAATCTTTGTCATTATGGTCCATTTTAGAAGTATATTTTAATACACACCTGAACTTTTAGATTTTTTTTTTAAAGATTTACCTTATTTATTAGAAAGACAGAGTTACAGAGAGGCAAAGAGAGATAGAGAGAGGTTTTCCATCCACTGGTCCACTCCCTAGATGTCCGCAACGGTCAGAGTGACGCTGATCCAGAGCCAGGAGCCAGGAGCTTCTTCCAGGTCTCCCACGCGAGTGCAGGTGCCCAAGGACTTGGGCCATCTTCTACTGCTTCTCCAGGCCATAGCAGAGAGCTGGATTGGAAGAGGAGCAGCTGGGACTCAAACCAGCGCCCATATGGGGTGCTGGCGCTTCAGGCCATAGATCGTTTTTAAATAGGTTACCTCTCAAGTCCTGTTTTCTCTATTTTGAGTTCTTTCCAAAACCAATCTGTTATACAGCTGTGCCAAAAAGTCGGTTTCCCATTGATGTCTTGTTCCTCCCAGGCATACCAAGTTTCTGACTGCATTTCAGATTTGATCTGCTGCTTTTCCACATAAACAAAACCAAGCCACACGGACTAAATTCCGTTGCCTTACTGACTCCCACCTTCCTGCATGTCTAACTGGACAGCCTGTCAGTCTTGGCTTTAGATTTCCAGACCACTGCTTCTCTGTCCCCAGGCTGAGTGAAGAGCTCCTCCTCAGATTTCCCATAATTCCCTTTACATACATCTCATTCCTCACTGTGAAACCTCCTGTGGCCAGTGACAATATCTGAAATGTCTTCAACAGCACTTTTTATATTGCCAGCAATGTAAAATTTTTCAATAAATGGTGACATATTAAGAAATAAAAGCAGTAGTTTCATATCTAAAAAATTCATTTTTGAAAACTCAAAATTGATAGACTATTTTTTCTCATATCATTAAAATTTCTGCCAAAGAAAAAAGGGTTTAAAGGAGTCAAATGCGGTTAAACACAGTGAATAGTTTTCCTAGAAGAAAAAAAAATTGATTTTAACACCATATATATTTTTTATTTTTATTTTTGAAGATTTATTTTTTTTTATTTCAAAGGCAGAGTTAGGCAGAAAGAGAGGGAGAGGGAGAGAGAGAGAGGGGTCCTCTATCTGCTGGCTCACTCCCCAATTGGCCGCCAACAGCTGGAGCTGTGCCGATTCGAAGCCAGGAGACAGGAGCTTCCTCCTGGTCTCCCACAGGGGTGCAGGGGCCCAAGCACTTGGGCCATCTTCTGCTTTCCCAGGCCATGGCAGAAAGCTGGATCAGAAGTGGAGCAGCAGGGATTTGAACTGGTGCCCATATGGGATGCCAGCACTGCAGGTGGCAGCTCCACCCACTATGCCACAGCACTGGCCCCATCCCATATGTATTTTTTTTTTAAAAAGTACATATTAAAGGTCACAGATATCTAATGCTTGAATATTCAAAATACTTCTTAAACATTTATATTTAGGTAATTAAATATATATGCTAGAAAAGATGACACTAATGTTAATAAGATAAACAGTTTCCCGTAGAAACATCCCATTACCAAGTACACTGGTATAAATATTGCAGTTCCCTCAACATACGTATTCAAAAGAGTGGGAAGCACTTCTGGCTGACAGTTAACTGCTGATCTGAAGTGAAATCTGGAAATATTCATCACTGTTACTGTGTTCCATTATCTTATAAGACAGTTTTGGGAGAACAATTTAATGTCATTCCATGCACTAAGTTTATATAAGTACTCATAAATGAGATTATGGGGCTGCATTGTGGCAGTGGGTTAAGCTGCCGCTCTGCAATGCCAGCACCCCCTATCAGAGGACCAGTTAGAGTCCCCGTGGCTCCACTTTCAATCCAGTTACTCGGTAATGGAAAAGCAGTTGAAAAGACCCAAGTACCTGGATCCCTGCCACCCCCTTGGGAGACCTGGATGGAATTCTAGGCTCCTGGCTTCAACCTGGACCAGCTCTGGTTGTTGATGTCATTTGGGGAGTGAACCAGTACATGGACGATCAGTCTGTCTCTGTGTCACTCTGCCTTTTGAATGAACAAATAAATTTTTATTTTTAAATTAGAGGTTATTATTAAGACAAACTGCTGAGATAATTTCTTCTCTTTTTTTTTTTTTTTTAAGATTTATTTGAAGGCAGAGTTCCAGAGAGAGGGAGAGAGATCTTCCCTCCTCTGGTTCAATCCCCAAATGGCCGCAGTGGCCTGGGCTGTGCCAGGCTGAACCAGGAGCCACGAGCTTCTTTCATTTCTTCTACATGGGCGCAGGGGCCCAAGCACTTGAGTCATGTTCTGCTGCTTTCCCAGGCGCACTATCAGGGAGCTGGACTGGAAGTGGAGCAGCCAGTGGCCCAACTCACTATGCCACAACGTAGGCTCTTAAGTAATTTCTAGCAAATTTTATTGATGCTGATATATTTTAATATATTAATGCTTCTTAGCTACTTACTATAGAGAAAGCTTCAGTTTAGCCATCTTTTCATCCAGATATATCGGATGTAGTATGTATTAGAAAAACTGTTAGTTAATTAGATCTATTTCATTCATAAAGAATTTTCCTTAAGGTACAGCATTGGGGATGGGGAAGATGGAAACCTTTTTGGTATTTATAGATGATATTTAAGTGTGTAAATGCTTTTGAAAAGCCTCATATGAAAATTTCCCGCCTTTTTCTACCAATCAGGTATAAAAATGAAGATAGTAAAACCAAAGTAAATTTAAAGATGGTAAACAGCAGTTTCAGAATTAACTTTAATATATATACACTATAGCATTATATAATGTTTCTGTATGAAAATATTTGCCTAGAAACAATATTTTAGGTAAGTAAAATATTTTTATGAAAATACAGAGGATCAGTAGTAGTTATATTTATATGGATTTGTACACTGCAAATTTAAGATAAATCAATGCAGGACAACATACACAGAAAAGGGTCTATACTAACAACACAGTTTACTTCTGTTGGAACATATAAACACTTTTCTACTATAATACAAAATGCATTGCTTCCCCTAGTGACACTAGAGAAGAGTTGTCACTGAAATATATTACTGTGTTTTAGGAGGGGGAATGTTTCACATTTGTTTAAAATACACAGAAAATGCAATAAAGTGCTCTTTCCTCCAGAATACAGAGCTGAGAGTATCAAACAGAAATATAAAAAAAATTTCTTGTCCTGCAATAGTATCTGTTTTGTTTTATTTCTACACATAAAGCTAATTACTTAGTCGTGTCTATGACTGAAAGCGATTTTCTTGAAGAAAACAGCTTTTTGGTTAGTCTTATGGTTTAACATACCAGTGTGAAATAGCATAAAATCCAGGATATTTTGAAAATATTTTTGACTGGTATGTATGAGTTTCCTTATCTGAAAGGCTTGGGACCAGAAATGTTTCAGACTTTTCAATCTCTGGATTTTGGAATATTATATATATAAAATGAACTATCTTGGGGAGAGGACCCAAATCTAAATGTGAAATTCATTTAGGATTCACATATATCTTGTACACATAGCCTAAAGGTAATTTTATGTGATATTTTCAGTGTGCTTGTGTTTTAACCATGAGGTCAGGTATAAAATCTTGCACTGGTGGGATCATATCTATACTCAAAAAGTTTTAGATTTTGACATTTTGGATTAGTTATGTTCAACCTATAATGACATCCATCTTGTTGGAACAAGTCAATAGAAATGACCTAGGGAACGCCATAAACAATGATATTCAGATTAAAAACAAGAGGTCCTTCAAGTACCCAAACAATTTATTTTTACTACCTAAATATAGTGTTTTCCACTGCATACTCAAGTTTGACTAAAGTAAACATTTAGTAACAAAAAAAAAAAATCCTTTCTTCTGCAAAACAGTAGATACACGTCTTTAGTTATCAAAAGTGGTAGGATCCATATCACATAAATGATTATATTTTGTTTTATAAACATAAAATAACCACATTTGTGATTCAGAGAAATTCTGCTTCATATAACACCGTTGTCCGGTTTCTTGAGTGAGAGTTTACAAAGAAAATAGTAAAAAAAAAACTCAGGCTTTTGATTTAAAGACAATGACAGGTAATATTTGGTAAGCATGACTGATGCTATTCAATGACTCCTTCTGTAATCTACTTGATTGAAATACACTATATCCATCATTCACACATAATCCAAAACAGCTGCTGTATCTGACCCATTCCCAGTACAATGAAATTATTCTAAAACATACAATGTTAAACTCTCAGATTGTTTTCAACGTGAGGAGTAATTTCCTTTTTCTTTAGAAGCATACTCAGTTTGTGATTTCTGGAATATCAAGTATCTCCAAAAACAGGAAAAAATTTATTTTTAAATTAGAATTATAATTTATAGGGAGATTTAAAAATTACTATTTTTTTAAATTCTAGGAGAGGAAGACAAAATCATTCTAAAGAAATGATTGTGAAAACAGTGCTTGCCTACGCGCATCCACCTCATCTGGCTGCGGTCGTTACCACCATGAAGCAGCATGACTAGTTCTGCCCTCCAGTGTTCTGTTTCTGGAAAAAGGCCTTTCCAAATTCGTATGTGCTGATCATAACTGCACAAGCAGGGGCAATTTTAATTAAGCGAGGTATCAGGCCTGAAAAGAGACAAGAAAAATAACAAATTTTACCTTATTTAAAAAAATTTATTTGGCCTTAGTCTGGTAATTAAATGATTTATAAAATTCTGTACCATAAACTGGTAGCAAACAATAGATGAAGTTGTTCACTTCTAACCTCTAACTTCAACTCCATTTTTATAGAAATGTTATATTTCTGATAGTAAACCAGTGTTATTTAACATTTTTAGGAAAAAATATTTAACATGGAATATAACCTGGAATTTCCTTTTGGATGTCTATGTTAGGTTATTGATCAGTGATTTGATAGAGTTAATATTTTTACCTGTAAATAATCCAGAAACTCCATTTTTAGCAACAATGTTCTTCATTATAACCCAGGTTGACATTTGTAAAGGCACAGAAACTAAATAAAGAAATAATACTATTATAAATCACAATTTAATAATTTTAAATAGATACTACAAATAAAGTGGTATTTTTAACCTCTGAAGGTATATGATTTCATTACAGCAACAGAATTATTTTCTGTATAAAGAGCTGTTTTCAATCTTATTTTTGACAATTGGAGTCATTAAAAAGAAAAAGTAGGAAAAGACTAAGTTTGAAGGCAGATAGCAACTGGACATCAGGGAGGACTACACAGAAAACTTCTCTTGAACTGGTAATTTTTTAAAGATTTACTTTACTTGAAAGGCAGAGAGAGTTACAGAGAGGCAGACGCAGAAGGGGGGGGTCTTTCTTCTGCTGTTTCACCCCACAAATGGCTGCAAAGGTTGGAGCTGAGCTGATCTAAATCCAGAAGCCAGGAGCTTCTTCCAGGTCTCCAATGTGGGTGTAGGGGCCCAAAAATTCAGGCCAACTTCCACTGCTTTCCCAGGTGCACTAGCAGGGAAGCTGGATCAGAAGTGGAGCAGCCGGGACTCGAACCGGCGCCCATATGGGATGCTGGTGCTGCAGGCTGGAGCTTTAACCTGCTGCGCCACAGCACCAGCCCCAGTAATATTTGTTTTTGAAGCTTGGTAGTATGACAGTATTCTACATTTTTTCTATGTCATTTAAATATGTTTCATAATAAAAATTTTAAAAGATGTACAGAAACCTTTATGGGGTATCTAAAAGATAAGTTCTGATAAGCATTTTTCATTTAAATGTTGTTGTACACAGTTTAAAAGAATCTTTTGCTCAAAAAGAGCTTCTCAGGGAAACAGCTCATTCTCCCCAATGGTGTCCTGCTGTGGGGAGCAACTTGGACTAGACTAAGTTACTGGAATTAAGACTTATTCTATGCATCTGCTCTCCCACAATATGGCGCTGGGAGAGGAGTAAACAACTTCTATGCAGCTGCCTCTCGCCAACTTGAGTGATGACCTGCAGGAGCTGATCCTGCTCCTGATTGGAGGAGAGCAGTGTACTCGGCGTGTGGGTAGCAGAGTTGGGATTGGTGGAAGAGGACTATAAAGGAGGAGAGAGACAACATGCACCAGGAACATCTAAAGGGAACATCCGGATAACATCTGAGCAGCCCCTGAGAAAGCCGGCCGGCGGTGTGCCGCTCCCCCGCGGAAGTGGGGAAAGTGGCTGGGGGAACCGCCCTTCCACGGAGGTGGAAGGATCGGCAGCCAACCCGGGAAGGACCAGCAGCAAACCCGGGGAGGGCCGAGCAGACAAAAGAACAGCGCAGGGTCTAGTGTCGTTCCTCCACGAAGAGGGGGAGCGACATCCTGCCTTATTACAATCTTTCTGAACAGATACACAAGTCAGGCAATAAATTACACCAGTGCTGCCTCCTCCAAAAGGCAGATTTTAGCTAATGGTACCTTCTCACTTATTTGCAGTCACTCAAATACCAAGAACTCAAACTGGTATCCACTTTAACAGGATGAACTTAATGAAAAGAGAATGATCAAAAAATTATCAACTAAATGGTCAGGTTCTAAAGTTTCAGCATTCAATAGCTATTTTCACAGGTAATAAGCAACTTCTTGCATAATAAACAGCTGTATTATTAAATATTTCAAAAATACAGAAAAGCATGAAATACGTTTACTATTCAAATTTACTAAACTGTGAAGACAATCACTCATATTCAATTTGAAACCCCCTATATATTCCTACCCAATCTTATTCTTCCTTTCTCCTCAGAGGAAACCACTTGGCCTTTTTTTTTTAATTTGCCACATGTATTTAAGTTTTTTATATCTGAATATATTTGTAAGTGATATATACTTCATCTTGATTATATAAATGGCATGGCAATATACATCTAAAGTATGCTTTTAGAAGAGTGAAGTGTGCCTCTTATTCATTTTAATTGGTATTTGGTATTGAATTTCATGGAATTACATGAGTTATCACGATTTACCTATTTTCTTGTCAAGAGACACTTAGGTGGTGTGTATATATATATATATATATATATCCTTCTGCCATTCTGTAATTCTGTCTTTAAAAAAAAAAAAACTAGGCTAATCCTCCGCCTGCGGCGCTGACACACCGGGTTCTAGTCCCGGTCGGGGCGCCGGTTCTGTTCCGGTCGCCCCTCTTCCAGTCCAGCTCTCTGCTGTGGCCCGGGAGTGCAGTGGAGGATGGCCCAAGTGCTTGGGCCCTGCAACCACATGGGAGACCAGGAGGAAGCACCTGGCTTCTAGCTTCGGATCAGTGCAGCACGCCGGCCGCAGTGTGCCAGCCGTGGCAGCCACTTGGAGGGTGAACCAATGGAAAAAGGAAGACCTTTCTCTATGTCTCTCTCTGTCTAATCCTGTCAAAAAAAAAAAAAAAAAAAACCTTAAAAATTAAAAAAGCTGGGGCCAGGGCTGTGGCTTAGTGGGTAAAGCTGCTGCCTGTAGTGCTGGCATCCCACTTGGGCACCGGTTCGAGTCCTGGCTGCTCCACTTCTGATCCAGCTCTCTGCTGTCACCTGGGTTAGCAGCAGAAGACAGTCCAAGTCCTTGGGCCCCTATACCCACATGAGAGATCCAGAAGTTCTTGGCTCCTGGCTTTGGATTGGCCCAGATCCAGCTGTTGTGGCCATCTGGGGAGTGAACCAGCAGATGGAAGATTTCTGTCTCTCCCTCTGTAACTCTACTTCTTAAATCAATCAATATTTAAAAAAATTTAAAAATAAAAATAAAAAAGCTGGCACTAGATTAAATTTTTAACATATAAATGATGCATTTAGATATGAGGGAAAAGTTATCTTTATTATAGGACCTGGCACTTACTATATCCTAATGTGCTTCTAGATGTAGCCTCTTGAGTGGGTTATGTGCTCTCTGAGAGTCTGATGCTGTCTGATCTCTGTACCCAGCATGGTGCCTGGCAGTAGGCACTCAATCAGTAACTAATGGGTAAAACATGAAGAAGTGGTCTGAGTGGTTTGATAGATCAGATTCTTACATGGATCTCACCATCACTCTGTGTGCAACACTTCATACTTTGTTTTTGGCTTAGAGGTAAGGGATTTGGTATAGCTAAGCTGTGGGATGGAGGAACACACTTTTAAATGGATCTGGGTTACTTAGGTGGGGATAAATAATGTATAACACAAATCATGGAACTGATTATGGGCTGTTTTATCACAAGTTATAGAAATAGTTCGTAACTTAAATAAGTCTTGATAAAAAACCTTTGCAGAGTAATTTGTAGAGGTCTACAGTTGAAGTTTCTTTCAACATTGTAATTTTGCTTTCTATTCAAAATACTGATGTCACAGGTTAGAACAATTAATTTACATTGTAATAGGTTACCATGACAGTTACATAACACAATTTTTTTTCTTTAAAGACTTAATTATCTACTTGAAAATCAGTGTTACGGGGTGGGGGAGGGAGGGAGGGAGACAGAGAGAGGGAGGGAGGGGAGGGAGGGAGGGGGCTTCCATCCACTGGTTCTGTGCTACAACACCAGTCCCATAACACGATTTTGTAATAGGTGATTTCCTAATAGTTTGCCATACTTTCTACAGAGAAAAATGTGGACAGGGGAGTCTATAAAAGTAGATTTTTTTCCTAGAAAAAGTTAGAGGACAAAAAGATGTAAAAATAGATAATAGGTAGAAAAGACAGGGAGTTAAAAACACAAAAAAATAACGGAATATATACATACTAACAAAAAGCATATTAAGAGAAAAAAAAGTTTCCCAGTAATTTCCCATTCTTTATCCTGACTTGTTTAATTTTATTTTATTGGTTTATTTGAAATACTCAGAAAAAAGGTGGAAATTTGAAACAGATTGGAAAACAAACTGTAGGAAAAATACCATAAACCACCTCAACCTTTGAGTGACAAAGATAACATTCTTCTGGGAGGGGAAATACTCAGCCCAGTCCCACATCAGAGTGCCTTGCTTCCATTCATGGCTCCAGCTCCCTGCTTCCCACTGACGCAGACTCTGGGAGGTACCAATGGCCCAAGTAATCTGAATCCCTACCATCTACACTGGAGACCTGGCTCCCGCCCAGCCTAACCCTAGATGCTACAGCCGTTTGGGTAGTGAAGCAGTGGATGGCAGCATTCACCCTCTGTTTCTCAAATTAATAAGAAAAGAAAGATGATTCATCTTTTTTTTTTAAAAAGATTTATTTATTTATTTATTTATTTATTTGAAAGGCAGAGTTCAAGAGAGAGACAGAGAGAGGTCTTCCATCTGCTGGTTCACTCCTCAAATGTCTGCAATGGCCGGAGCTGTGCTGATCCAAAGCCAAGAGCCAGGAGCTTCCTTCAGGTCTCACGTAGGGGTGCAAAGGCCCAAGTACTTGGGCCATCCTCTACTCTTTTCCAGAGTCTTCCACATCAGCAGGAGCTAGGTCAGAAGCGGAGCAGCCAGGAGTGGAACTGGCATCATATGGGATGCTAGCACTGCAGGCAGCAGCTTTACCTACTCACTGCGCCACAGCACCGGCCCCGAATTATCTTTAAGTAGATATGAGACTTAACTGATGAGTGAATCCACGGATGGAAGATTGCTCTTGCTCTCTCTCTGTCATTCTGCCTTTCAAGTAAATTTAAATAAATCTTTAAAGAAAAATTAGACCTTAAGATCTCAATTTTTGGGGGACTTAGAGTAAATTTTCTGGGTATTCCATTCTAATGGTATACATTTATTAGTTTCATTAAAGAAGAAAAAAAAAAACAAAAATGGTGGAAAAACAACAATGGCACTTTAAATATAATTAAACTTACTTTTATGAGTTTCATACGTCCAAAGCTGTGTCTGCTTTTGTGTTTTTACCACATCAAATGGTAAGGTTGCAATAGCTGCAAACTATCAGAAAGAAATACTGGTTACTTTAAATCTACCTTTTGATTTTCCCTAAAAGATTTTTATATTCTTATAATTAGCATATTACTTAGCAAGAATATAAATCATAACCAAACTAAACTTTAAATAAAACCAGATACATTTACATAAAATTTTCTTTAAAGAAAGCTGATACGTGTCTTATGTGTTTCTCACAAGACCTGGAGTAAAGGGTCTCAGGAAAAGTCCCCTTCCTTTCCGAGGTCACACAGCTACTAGCAGAGGCAGAATTCCATGCAGAGCTCTGTGGCTCCCAAACCAGCGCTCACCGTTTCTGATGCTCTCGTGCTGCATCGTTCCCTTATTTCACATAAAGGTAAAGTATGTATTTTAAAGCAGAAACTCAAGTAGCTCGTAAGCATTTAAAATTTCCCAGCAAATTTATGTTTTAACAATAAATATAATTTGAAAATTGAACAAATAAAGCAAATACACTTTGAACTTTCAGTTCTATATTCTTTATATGGGTTCTGACACGTTTATCAAATGTAGTTAAAATGCTTCACAAATCAAATTTAAAAATTTCTCAAAACAATTCATGTTACAATTATTGCCACAATGCCTTAATTAAGGGAGGATTTTTTTATAAGACTCATTTATTTATTTGAAAGCCAGAGTTACGTGGCTGGGGAGGACGACATCTTCCATCTGCTGGTTTACTCCCACAATGGTCACACTGGCAGGGGCTGCGCCAGGTCAAAGCCAGGAGCCTGGTGCTCCATCCAGGTCTCCCACTTAGGTAGCAGTGGCCCAAGCACTCAGGCCAATCCTCCACCATCTTCCTAGGAACATTAGCAGCAAGCTGGATAAGAAGTGGAGCACTGGAGACTTAACCCACTGTACCACAAGGCTGGCCCCAGAGAGGATTTTTTTTTTTAACTGTTTTATTTGTTTACTTCAGAGGTAGAGTTAGAGACAGTGAGAGGGAGACACAGAGAGAAAGGTCTTTCAGCTGCTCGTTCACTCCCCAAATGTCCACAACAGCTGGAGCTGAGCCGATCTGAAGCCAGGAGCCAGGAGCTTCTTCCCAGTTTCTCAAGCAGGTGCAGGGGCCCAAGCACTTGGGCCATCTTCTACTGCTTTCCCAGGCCATAGCAGAGAGCTGGATCGGAATAGGAGCAGCCAGGACTAGAACCAGTGCTGGCGCCGCAGGCGGAGGATTAACCTATTGCGCCACAGCACTGGCCCAGTGAGGATTTTTAAAAAGAATAATTAAATACTTTTAAGAATGTTCTCACAGGGGTGCTGTGGTGCAGCGGATTAAAGCCCTGGCCTGAAGCGTCGGCATCCCATATGGGCGCCGGTTCTAGTCCCGGCTGCTCCTCTTCTGATCCAGCTTTCTGCTATGGCCTGGGAAAGCAATAGAAGATGGCCCAAGTGCTTGGGCCCCTGCACCACATTGGAGACCTGGAAGAAGCTCCTGAGTCCTGGCTTTGGATCAGCACAGCTCTGGCCGTTGCGGCCAATTGGAGAGTAAACCAGCAGATGGAAGATATTTCTCTCTGTCTCTACCTTTCTCTGTAACTTTCAAATAAATAAATCTTAAAAAAAAAAAAAAAACAAAAAAAAAAAACAAATGTTCTCACAATATTTGACACAATAGCCATGCAAAGTAAAACTTGGTGTTTGTTTTTCTTTTTGCTTCCCAACTCACACTTGGCCAATATGCTCATAAAATGCCCCTTAAAATCATTTATATTTTTTATCACCCAATTTGTTGAAGTTCTTGAAATTAGGTTCAAAGATCTCAGGTAAGATAAAAATCAATTACTGTTTCTTCATCTCCACAAACTACCATGTAAAAGGAAAACTACTATGTTATATAAGCCTCTTTGACACTTTCCAAAATGATGTAGATTGTATTGTTCTGTTTTCTGACAGAAAGCTTCAAAACTATATTCATGTGCTTTTTTGTTGCAGAAACACATCTTTATTTGAAAACAATCAGAGGTTAGCAACAATTTCTTGATCATTTAAAAAATCATTAAAAAAATAATTTTTCTCAGGTAGCTCTCTGGCACAGCATTAAGATGCTACGTGGGACACCAGCATCCCTTATTAGAGTGCTTGGGTTCAAATCGCCGCTCCATCCCCAATTCCAGCTTCCTGCTAATCAGACACCCTGGGAGGCAGCAGGTGATTGTTCAAGTAGTTGGCTCTTTACCACCCATGTGGGTGACCCCGGTTGAGATCCTGGCTCCTGGCTTCAGTCTGGCCCAGTCTGGACTGTTGCTGGCATTTGGGGAATGAACCAGAGGACAGGAGATCTTTCTCCATCCCTACTTCAACAACACTGACTCTCTCTGCCTTGCACATAAAATTAAAAAAAAAAAAAAAAAACCTGTAAAAATATTTTTGTAGAAATAATAAAATAGAGAATTTCCCTTCATGTCTCAATAAAGTTGGTAAAACATCCCAAAGCCATTATTCAATAATGCTAATTGCGATTTTGACTCAAAAGGCTCTACGCCTCTAGGCTTAATTTGTTAGATTGTAGGCAAATACACATATCTAAGTTTTGAACTCCATTTCCATGGCTTCCTAACTAGGTTTTCTTATATATTATTCCAGTATTTCTCTTCAGGTCTCCATCACTTCACCTCTGCCCCTTTCCTCTTGTTTCTATGGAGTACCAATTTGTCAGTGTCTCATTGTTACATTACCACAAATTCATTTTGGAAGAAAACCCTTATACTAAGGTAACAATGATGTGAATCTCCCGAAAGGAAGTGCACTACATGACTTTCCATTATATAGAGGGCTGCGAAAAGGTGAGCTCTTTAGCACCTAAAAATGGCCATTTGAGATTGCTCCCTCTGACTGTAATTTTTGTTAAAATTCTTTTAAGTACTTAGCCAAAATGTTCTTCAAGAAACGTGAATTAACAGTGGAAGATGGAAGTGTTTTTTTCAATATGACTTTACTTTTGGGCTGATACTCCATGAAATATTACCTAATTATATTTACTGGCATTTACTGAACTTATATATTACCAAATATTCTATACATATTAATGCATTAAAGTATTACAATTATCACAACTGTAACATCTAAAAAAAACCTAAAAGTTTTTTGAAAAATATAATTATTTTAATATAATAAAAAATAAACACAAAGTACATTTTAAACTATTGTAATGGTTAATTTATGTTCCTAAATTAGGATGGCAAGTACCAAGAAAATTCTAAAAGCAGTATAATCCAAAAGTATTATCTTAATATATCTTAAATATCAATAATATTTTGTCCTGACATAACTATTATTTTTCTGAATTTTTAATTAGAAAAGAACAAACTTACAGAACCAGACAATGCCCCTGAAGTAAAGTTGATCATAAATGTTGGTTCATATAAGCCAGACTTCTCACACAACCATTTCTTTAAAATTTCATAGTTATACCAGTACATTGCTATAAAAACAGAACATGAAATGAGCACATATTTAGAAACAGAATGGTAATGTTTAAGAAGATATTTATAGGGGTTATACATTAAAGGAACAGAGAACGTCTAATCTTGAAACACCTTGCTTTCTGCCTGGATACCTATACCAGGCATAATTTTTAAAAAGGAGGAGGGGGCACAAAATTCTCAGGGATATTCTAGCAGTTTTATAATCCCAAAACTTGATGAACATACATGTTAGAATCCTTAAAAAATAAATAGGGAACAAGTCAGAAGTATTCTATATAAGAAATACAAAAGCACTTAAAATTTAAAACTTTTAAGTGTTATAAATGTTAGCAAAACCATGGGATCATCTAATGATGCCAAAATGCAATTGATAAAATACTCATTTAAAGCAAATAACAAATAATTTTCCTAGAAATCTAGAGATAAAGAGAACATGTCCAACTGGAAAACGAATATGCATCCAAAAACTCTGTAGCAAAAATAATTATTAATGGTGAAACAAAAGAACTATTGCCTTTAAAATGAGGAAAATGATGGGGATACTCATTGTTGTCACTACTATTCAAAACTGTAACAAAGCAAATACAACAAAAAGAAACAATGTCCAACCTTATGAACAATTTGAAAATGCAAATTAAAGAGACATATTACTTTAAATTATTATATAGGTGCTGGCATTTGGCCTAGAGGTTAAAGCACCAGTTGGGATGCCTACATCCCATATTGTAGTGCCTGGGTTTGAGTCCTGGCTATGCCTCTAATTTCACCTTCCTGCTTACGTACATCCAGGGATCCAGCAATGATAGTTAAAGTAGCTGGATCCCAGCCATCTACATGGGAGGCCTGAATTTGTTTCTGGGCTCTCGGTTTGGCCTGGTCCTACCCCAGGTAATACAGGGATTTGGGGGAGTGAAACAATGGATGGAAGTTCTGTCTGCCTGTGCCTGTCTCTCTACTTCTCAAAAAAATAAATAAATAAATACATATAAATGTATAATAGAGTATTAGTCAGCCATAAAAAAATAATTAAATCTTGTCACTTGCATCAAAATGGATGGAACTGTAGGCATAGATGTGTTTGGATAACAGGTACCAAATCAGATTTAGATAAAAGGAGTAAGTTCCTGGCATTAGACAGCATAATTGGGTGACTTACTTCACAATAAGTCCATCATATATTTTTCATCAAGTGGAGGAGTAGAGCTCCAGGGTTCCAATCAGAAAGTAAGGTCAAAAAAGGGGATAAATGTTGATTGTCCTGATTGGTCAGTACACACTGAATATATGCACTGAAATGTCACACTGTGGCCCATAACCATGGATAATTATTGTTTAAAAATCACAAGTATATAAAAAAATAATAAATTACTAGAAAAATAAAAACTAAGAACTTCAACAATGAAAGAGTTGGTGAAGGCATGAAGAGTAGGAAATTTCATAACTTGCTGACAGGGATATAACACTACATAAGCACATTAGGAAAGTTCAACATTACCGAGTAAAATTGAAAAGTATACATGGCATTTATATCAACCTGCAAATCCAACACTGGAAAGTCTTGCAATGTCAGCATTGAGTTCCTGGTCCCTCCTTCAGCCTGGCCTGTGCTGACCATTGTAGGAATTTGGGGAGTGAACTAGTGGATGGGAGCTCTCTCTATGTCTCTGCTTCTCAAGAAATTATAAGAATGAATCTTAGAAAGCTCTTGGGTAAAAGGAGGAATTTTTTTTTTAATTTCAAAATCAAGTAAAACTAAATATACTTCCTAAAAATAATTCTTTAAAAAATAAATCAAATGATAAAAATTCAGAGTAGTGGTTACCACTGGGGACTGAAACAGTAAAATAACATATATATAGATTCATGATTTAAAAAAAAATGCAATGTTCTAGATCATAAATTGAAGTGGCAAGTTAAAAAGTGCTCCTTAGTGTACTTGATAATGAAAATAATTTTTATTTATCAAACAACATTTAATAAAAAAAGAACATAAAATTGGCATGGGAATATGTTTTTTTTTCTTTGTTATTAAGATTCTATTCATTTTACCTTCTTTTTTGAGTCTCTTTTTTTTCTTTTTATTTAGTAAATATAAATTTCCAAAGTACAGTTTATGGATTACATTGGCTTACCCCCAATAATTTCCCTCCCACTCGCACCCCTCCCATCTCCTGCTTCCTCTCCCATTCCATTCACATCAAGATTCATTTTCGATTATATACAGAAGATCGATTCAGTATATATTAAGTAAAGATTTCATCCGTTTGCACCCACACAGAAACACAAAGTTTAAAAATACTGTTTCAGTACTAGTTATAGCATTACTATACATTGGACAACACATTAAGGACAGATCCCACATGAGAAGTAAGTACACAGTGACTCCTGTTGTTGACTTCACAATTTGACACTCTTGTTTATGGCGTCAGTAATCTCCCTAGGCTCTAGTCATGAGTTGCCAAGGCTATGGAAGCCTTTTGGATTCGCCGACTTCGATCTTATTCCGACAGGGTCATAGTCAAAGTGGAAGTTCTCTCCTCCCTTCAGAGAAAGGTACCTCCTTCTTTGATGGCCCCGTTCTTTCCACTGGGATCTCATTCGCAGAGATCTTTCATTTAGGTCTTTTTTTTTTTTTCCCCAGACTGTCTTGGCTTTCCATGCCTAAAATACTCTCATGGGCTCTTCAGCCAGATCCGCATGCCTTAAGGGCTGATTCTGAGGCCAGAGCGCTGTTTAGGACATCTGCCATTCTATGAGTCTGCTGTGTATCCCGCTTCCCATGTTGGATCGTTCTCTCCTTTTTGATTCTATCAGTTAGTATTAGCAGACACAAGTCTTGTTTGTGCGATCCCTTTGACTCTTAGACCTATCAGTGTGATCATTTGTGAACTAAAATTGATCACTTGGACTAATGAGATGGCGTTGGTACATGCCACCTTGATGGGATTGTATGGAATCCCCTGGCAAGTTTCTAACTCCACCATTTGGGGCAAGTCCGACTGAGCATGTCCCAAATTGTACATCTCCTCCCTCTCTTATTCTCACTCTTATATTTAACAGGGATCACTTCTCAGTTAAAATTTAAACACCTAAGAATAATAGTGCATTAATTACAGAGTACAACCACTAGTACTAGAACAAAAAAAAAAATACTAAAATGGATAAAGTATTACATTGTACATCAACAGTCAGGACAAGAGCTGATCAAGTCATTGTTTCTCATAGTGTCCATTTCACTTCAACAGGTTTCCCCTTTGGTGCTCAGTTGTCAACAATCAGGGAGAACATATGATATTTGTCCCTTCGGGACTGGCTTAATTCACTCAGCATAATGTTTTCCAGATTCCTCCATCTTGTTGCAAATGACTGGGTTTCATTGTTTTTTTTTTTTTGTTTGTTTGTTTACTGCTGTATAGTATTCTATAGAGTACTTATCTTTATCCAGTCTACTGTTGATAGGCATTTGGGTTGGTTCCAGGTCTTAGCTATTGTGAATTGAGCTGCAATAAGCATTGAGGTGCAGACAGCTTTTTTGATTGCCAACTTAATTTCCTTTGGGTAAATTCCAAGGAGTGGGATGGCTGGGTTGTATGGTAGGGTTATATTCAGATTTCTGAGAAATCTCCAGACTGACCTCCACAGTGGCTTAACCAGTTTGCATTCCCACCAACAATGGGTTAGTGTCCCTTTTCCCCCACATCCTCTCCAGCATCTGTTGTTGGTAGATTTCTGTATGTGAGCCATTCTAACCGGGGTGAGGTGAAGCCTCATTGTGGTTTTGATTTTCATTTCCCTGATGGCTAGTGATCTTGAACATTTTTTCATGTGTCTGCTGGCCCTTTGGATTTCCTCTTTTGAAAAATGTCTATTGAGGTCCTTGGCCCATCTCTTAAGTGGGTTGTTGGTTTTGATGTTGTGGAGTTTCTTGATTTCTTTGTAGATTCTGGTTATCAACCCTTTATCTGTTGCATAGTTTGCAAATGTTTTTGCTCATTCTGTCAGTTGCCTCTTCACTTTCCTGACTGTATCTTTTGAAGTACAGAAACTTCTCAATTTGATGCAATCCCAAATGTTAATTTTGGCTTTGACTGCCTGTGCTTCTGGGGTCTTTTCCAAGAAGTCTTTACCAGTACCTGTATCTTGCAGGATTTCTCCAATGTTCTCTAATAATTTGATGGTGTCTGGTCGTAGATTTAAGTCTTTAATCCATGTTGAGTGAATTTTTGTGTAAGGTATAAGCTAGGGGTCTTACTTCATGATTCTGTACATGGAAATCCAATTTTCCCAGCACCATTTATTGAATAGACTGTCCTTACTCCAGGGATTGGTTTTGGATCCGTGATCAAATATAAATTGGCTGTAGATATTTGGATTGATTTCTGGTGTTTCTATTCTGTTCCATTGGTCTATCCATCTGTTTCTGAATCAGTACCATGCTGTTTTGATAACAACTGCCCTGTAGTATGTCCTGAAATCTGGTATTGTGATGCCTCTGGCTTTGTTTTTGTTGTACAAGATTGCTTTAGCTATTTGAGGTCTCCTGTGTCTCCATATGAATTTCAGCATCATTTTTTCTAGATCTGAGAATGTCTTTGGTATCTTGATTGGTATCATATTGAATCTGTAAATTGCTTTTGGGAGAATGGACATTTTGATGATATTGATTCTTCCAATCCATGAGCATGGAAGATTTTTCCATTTTTTGGTATCCTCTTATATTTCTTTAAGGTTTTGTAATTTTCATCGTAGAGATGCTTAACGTCCTTGGTTAAGTTTATTCCAAGGCATTTGTTCGTTTTCATAGCTATTGTGAATGGGATTGATCTTAGCAGTTCTTCCTCAGCTGTGGCATTGCCTGTGTATACAAAGGCTGTTGATTTTTGTGCATTGAGTTTATATCCTGCTAGTTTGCTTCTATGAGTTCCAATAGTCTCTTAGTAGAGTTCTTTGGATCCCCTAAATAAAGCATCATATCATCTGCAAAGAGGGATAGTTT